AATGATAATGTTTTGAAGAAGGAGCATAGTGTTTCAGCTCACACTAAAACACTCTATAGATAAGCAGTGATTCTGTCAGAATCTAATTTAATTCTGATAAATCAGATAAGTTAATCATTTGATTTTATATATATATGTATCAAGGGGCAGGACAGTAAAAAGTCTATTGAGAGGTTCTTACCAATAGAGAAGAGAGTTAGCCAAAAACCCAAACATCTCCCAGAAAAGCGATTTAAATCACTTTTTCCAAACTTAAAAAAAAACCCTCATTATTATATCAGTTTTGTCATGGCACATTTATAAACAAAGGAATATAAGTCACAGAGATTTCCTCAGAGATAGCTTTTTTAATTAAAAATGTGTCCAACTATGTAACATAAAATAAAAAGAAAAACTACAAGAAAGGTATTTAATTCCATCTGTATCTAGATAAGAAAGAGGAGAAAGGGAAGAGTGAACAGGAGGAGGAACAGAGAGAAAGATTTAAAGCCAGGTGGGGGTTGAGGGAAGGGCAAGGAAGGAAGAGATACAAAAGAAAACAAAATGCAAAGATATAAGTGTGTATTAATCTGTTTTCACATTGCTATAAAGAACAACTGAGACTGGATAATTTATAAAAGAAAAAGGTTTAGTTGACTCACAGTTCTGCATGTCTGGCGAGGCCTCAGGAAACTTACAATCATGATGGAAGCCAAAGGGGAAGCAAGGCATGTCTTCTCATACTGGCAGAAGAGAGAGAACATGAGGGCAGGGGTGCTGCCAAACACTTTTAAACCATCACATCTCATGAGAACTCACTCATTATCATGAGAATAGCATGGGGAAACCACCTCCACGATCCGGTCACCTCCCACCAGGTGCCTCCCTGACACCTAGAAATTACGATTTGAGATGAAACTTTGGTGGAGACACAGAGCCAAACCATATCATTCTGCCCCTAGCTCTTCCCAAATCTCATGTCCTCTCTTCCCAAATCTCATGTCCTTTGTACATTTCAAAACCAATCATGCCTTCCCAACAGTCTCCCAAAGTCTCAAATCATTCCAGCATTAACTCAAAATTCCAAGTCCAAAGTCTCATCTGAGACAGGGCAAATCCCTTCCGCCTATGAGCCCGTAAAATCAAAATCAAGTTAGTTACTTCCAAGATACGATGGGGGTACAGTTGTTGGGCAAATAGACCCATTCTAAATGGGAGAAGTTGGCTAAAACAAAGGGACCACAGGCCCCATACAAGTCCAAAACCTAGCCAGGCAGTCATTAAATCTTAAAGTTCCAAAATAATCTCCTTTGACTCCATGTCTCACATTCAGGGCATGCTGATGCAAGAGGTGGGTTCCCAAGGCCTTGGGCAGCTTCACCCTGTGGTTTGGTTCTGCAGGGTACAGCCCCTGCAGTTGCTTTCCCAGGCTGACTCTGAGTGCCTGCAGCTTTTCTATGCACATGGTGCAAGCTGTCGGTGAATCTATCCTTCTGCGGTCTGAAGGACAGTGACCCTCTTCTAACAGCTCCACTAGGCAGTGCCCCAGTGGGGATTCTGTGTGGGGACTCCAACCCCACATTTCCCTTTTGTACTGCCCTAGCAGAGGTTCTCCATGAGGGCTCCACTCCTACATCAGAATTCTGCCTGGACACCCAGGCATTTCTATATATCCTCTGAAATCTAGGTGGAAGTTCCAAAACCTTAACTCTTGTCTTTTGCACACCTGCAGTCCCAACAATACCTAGAAGCTGCCAAGGTTTGGGGTTTACACCCTCTGAAGCAATGGCCTGCACTGTACATGGACCCCTTATAGCCACAGCTGGAGCAGCTGGAAAACAGGGCACCAAGTTGCAAGGCAGCATAGAGTAGCAGGGCCCTAGGCCATTTTTCCCTCCCATGCCTCCAGGCCTGTGATGGGAAGGGCTGCTACAAAAATCTCTGACATACCTAGGGACATTTTCCCCATTGTGTTGGCTATTAACATTCAGCTCCTCATTACTTATGCCAATTTCTGCAGGAGGTTTGAATTTCTCCCCAGAAAATGGGTTTTTGTTTTCTACCAACATGGTCAGGGTGCACATTTTCCAAACTTTTATGCTTTTAAACATAAGCTCCAATTTCAAATCATCTATTTGTGAATGTATATAACTGCACATTTCAGGAAAAGCCAGGTCACCTCTTGAATGCTTTGCTGGTTAGAAATTTCTTCTGTCAGATATCCTAATTCATCTCTCTCAAGTTCAAAGTTCCACAGATTTCTATGACAGGGGCAAAATGCTGCTAATCTCTTTGCTAAAGCATGGCAAGCACAACCTTTGCTCCAGTCCCCAGTAAGTTTCTCATCTCCATCTGAGACTACCTCAGTCTGGACTTCTTTGTTCATATCACTATCAGCATTTTGGTCAAAACCATTCAACAAATCTCTAGGAAGTTCCAAATTTTCCCTCATCTTCCTATCTTCTTCTGAGTCCTCCAAACTGTTCCAACCTCTGTCTGTTACCCAGTTCCAAAGTTGCTTCCACATTTTCAAGTTATCTTTATAGCAATACCCCACTGGCTAGTACCAATTCTCTGTATTAGCCTATTTTCACACTGCTATAAAGATATTACCTGAGACTGGGTAATTTATAAATGAAAAAGGTTCTTGAGGAATCGCCATACTGTTTTCCATAATGGTTGAACTAGTTTACAATCCCACCAACAGTGTAAAAGTGTTCCTATTTCTCCACCATCCTCTCCAGGCACGTGTTGTTTTCCTTGACTTTTTAATGATCCATTCTAACTGGGTGAGATGGGTATCTCGTTTGTGTTTTATTTGCATTTCTTCTGGATGGCCAGTGATGAGGGCATTTTTCATGTGTCTGGTTGGCTGTATGGATGTGCTCTTTTGAGAAATGTCCTCTGTTCATATCCTTTTCGGCGCCACTTTTTGACTGGTGGTGTTTTGTGTTTTTCTTATTAATTTGTTTTGAGTTCTTTGTAGGTTCTGGATGTATTAGCCCTTTGTCAGCATTGGAGTTAGATTGCAAAATTTCTCCCATTCTGTGGTAGGCTCTCGCGCCGCTCGCTCTCCCTCTGATGGTAGTTTCTTTTGCTGTGAGAGCTCTTTAGTTTTAATGAGATTCCCATTTTGTCAATTTTTGGTTTTGGCGTGCCGTTGTTTTGGTGTTTTAGGGACATGAAGTCCTTGCCCAATGCCATGTCCTGAATGGTACCACTAGGGTTTTCTCGTCAGGATTTTTCTGGTACGAAGGCATCTAGAACTAGATGTACCATATGACCTCCGCCATTCCCAGCTTTACCTAGTATATACCAAAAGGATTCATCAAGATTATGCTGCTATGAAAACACATGCACCACGTATGTTTATTGCAGCACTATTCACAATTGTAGCAAAGAGCTTGTGATACAACCAAACTGTCATCAGTGACGGATTGGATTAAGAAATGTGGCCATATGACACCATGGACATACCTTATGCAGGCCATAAAAGGAAAGATGAGTTTGTGACGTTTGTAGGACATGGATGCAACGCTGGAATCCATCACCTCTCTAGCAACACTGATCAAAGAACAGACAAACCCAAATCACCGCATGGTTCTCACTCTATGGTGGGCAATGAACATGAGAATCACTTGGACTCAGAAAGGGGAACCATCACCCGGGGGCTATGCATGGGGAGGGGGGGAAGGGCCGGATTGCATTGGAGTCTTCAGTAACTGATGTAAAGACGGGAGTTGATGGGTGTAGCACCACCAACATCTGGCACCAGCATATACTGATGACAAACCTGCACGGTGCTAGGCAACATGTACCTACAACTTACAAGTGTATAAGTACATAAATTAAGTTTAAAAAAAAAAGAACTCTACAAAAAAAAAAATAAAAAATAAATGAAAAAGGTTTAATTAACTCACAGTTCCACATGGCTGGGAAGGCCTCAGGGAACTTACAATCATGGCAGAAAATGAAGGAGAAGCAAGGCACATCTTCTCATGGTGGCAAGCAAGAGAGAGAACATGAGGGAAGAACTGCCAGACAGTTTTAAACCATCTAATCTCATGAGAACTTACTCACTATCATAAGAACAGCGTGGGGGAAACTGCCACCATGATCCAATCACCTCCCAGCAGGTCTCTCTCCTGACACATGGGATTACAATTCAAGTGAGATTTGGGAGGGGACACGGAACCAAACCATATCAAAGTGTGTAGAAATAAAGAAAGGAGAGACATGTAAAAGAGGTAGCCAAAGAAAAGAGAGGTGAAAAGATCAAAAGAAAGGTAGCGTAAGTTCTCAGGTGAGTGGTGATTAAAGAACTGTTTTATTCTTCCTTGGCTTATAGGAAAACCTGTTTTATTTTTCCTTGGCTTATAGGAAAAGCTACTTTGGCATGCTAAATGGGTCTGACCCACTCATCTCAGCTTTTTAACTATTCAATATTCCTACACATTACAGATTTCTTTTTCAGTAATTCAACAGAAGTGTGGCTGTTTTTTTTATGACAGTTGCAAGGTAACCAAATAAAATGAAACCAAGAAAAAACGGTAAGAGTAAACTACTTTCCCCGAGAGAACTTTTATGTTATGTGGACAGATGTGGACAGACAAAATGATGGCAGAGTTGACATTCTGATTCCAAAGAGAAGTATGTTCAATAGAAAATAATTAAAACCGATCATACCTAGCTATGGCAAAAAGAATCCTGGGAATCATTTAATTTATTTTATGTACACAACATGGAATGATTAAATCAAGCTAATTAACATATCTATCATTTTATTTCAATCAATAAATAGTATATGGGTGAGCAATCAAGGGACATCTTGGTCAGATACCTTAAAACATTGTTTTAATCAATGTGTTATTAGGGTTTCCCAAGGCACCAGTTTGAATATGAAAAGAATAATCACCATGGTTGTTTCACAGATCACTAATTTGAACACAATACTCCAACCCTGCCTAGAGTCTGAAACACACAGAATATCTTCTAGTAACAGTTTATCTTATTCTCCACAGTGCTCCTATATACCTAAGTGTGGAAAAAATTTTGAAGAATCCATGTCCCTGGTGAATGTTGTCATGGAAAACTTCAGGAAGTATCAACACTTTTCCTGCTATTCTGATCCAGAAGGAAACCAGAAGAGCGTTATCCTAACCAAACTCTACAGTTCCAACGTGCTGTTCCATTCACTCTTCTGGCCAACCTGTATGATGGCTGGAGGTGTGGCAATTGTTGCCATGGTGAAACTCACACAGTACCTCTCCCTACTCTGTGAGAGGATCCAACGGATCAATAGATAAATACAAAAGTGGATAAAATAATTTCTGTTAAAGCTCAAATACTGTTTTCTTCCATTCTTCACCAAAGAACCTTAAGTTTGTAATGTGCAGTCTGTTATGAGTTCCCTAATATATTCTTATATGTAGAGCAATAATGCAAAAGCTGTTCTATATGCAAACATAATGTCTTTATTATTCAAGAGAATAAATAACTGTTTTGTGTTGGTTGGTGGTTTTCATAATCTCATTTCTGTACTGGAACTAGTACTTTCTTCTCTCATTCTGCCAAAATAGGGCTCAGTTATTCATTTGCCAAGCTTTGTGGAGGAATGTAGGTGACATCAATGTGAAAAAGTCTGTGTTCTGAGTTGTCAGATCTCTTGAAGACAATATTTTTCATCACTCATTGTTTACTAAAGCTACAGCCAAAAATATTTTTCTTTTCTTATTCTAAACTGAGCCCTATAGCAAGAGAAAGGACCAGACTTCCTAATTAAAGGAAGTTAGGTACTTTCCTTGTATTTTTTACCATATCACTGTAAAGAAGAGGGGAAACCCAACCAGCTACTTTTTTTCATCACTTTTTATTCATAACTTCAGATTTTTAAAACTAATTTCCAAAATACAAGCTGTTTTCATTAGCCAATTCTATAATATCTTCCTGTGACTTATGTAGAAAATGAACAGACCCCTTTTCCATTTAAGACCCTTCTACTGTGTGAAGAGATGATACCTACAAGGAGTATCATTACCTTTGAGTTGACTGAATGTTGGTAGGTGCTCCATTACAATTCAGAAAAGCCTGTGTTACTGATACTTGTGTGGAAATCTTTATTTCATTTCAATTTACCTGTTAGATGGTAAAATTAAGATGCTACTTGCTGGTAAAAATTGGTGGACCGGTTTCAATGGGTAAATCTGTTGTAGCAAATTAACGTGTTGGAATATTGCTCTTTGGGAATTTGTGTTTAAGTTAATGAATGTGTAGTATCTCCTTCTGACAAGTGTTCCCTATTGGAATTTTAAAGCTATGTGCACAGAATACTAGTCTCTTCTACATGTTTTATTTTTCTATTTACAACTCCCTTTTTTGTTGTTATATTTTATACACAGAATAGATCTTTTTTCTAACACATATTTGAACTGAATAACAGACTTAAAGAAAGCCTTTGTTCACATTACTATTTACTTATTGTGTTTGGGGGAAAATATGAGGGATTGATTTTAAATAAAAAGCATTCCATCTTTCATTTAATATCAATATCAAAAGAAGAAGACAAACATTTATCTTTCTCATCTATATTTAAGTACCTTTTTGTAATGTAGTATCAAAGTATTTTAGGTATTGCAAAATTTTACAAATCATTTGTGGAATGAATGGTAAAACTAATCTGATGAAGTGGAAAATTATTCTGCAATATTGTAATTCATAGTTTGACTTTTCATAAGCAAATAAATCCTTAGGATGTAATCAGGACTTCAAATGTGTAATTAAAATTTCTTTTAAAAAATCTATTAAATTGCAAGATTTGAATACTTCTTGCATTCTGAGCTGACCAGCACGTTAGTCCAAAAATTTGTATTTCACTACCTTTAAAAATATTTTGAGTGATGACAAAGAAAGTTTCTTTTTTTAACACCCAAACACATACACATAATGTTGTGACCATTTGAAAAATAGGATGAAAAATTCTTTTATTTCTACTCTACTTTAAAACATATAATTCTGAAGATACTAAAGAATTACTTGAGACTATAGAGCTGAAAATGTGCAGTCTTTAATGTTTTTTAGGCTTCCCTTCAAGTGATCCAAGGGTGAAATATATGTGAGTGAAATTATCAGATGGGTTATTTTATTTTTACTTAACTCTGAATTTTTATTAAAAATTCCCAAATAATGTTTAAAATAACAATGTACAAATTTTTAAATAATGACACCAAAAAGATTAACTGGTGCCTTCTAGAATCCCAATACAGCAACAGCCCCTTCAAGAAATTTAGATATATACACAATTAATGCTCATTATTAAAAGAGAAAGATCTGGGACTAATGATGTTTTAAATGCTTTGCACAAGTTAACTAATTCAATCATTTAACAACTCTATTGGAGGAGGTATTATTATTATTATCTCATCCTACAGATGAGAATGTTGAAGCTAAGAGATGTTAAAGAATTTCCCCAAGGCTATACACATACTAAGACGGTGAAGATGTAAGAAAATAGTCTGTAACTTCCCTGCTATGGTGACCATTTCCATGACTTTGGCATCTTTTAGATAACACTGGGGGAATCTGAGGCTTTGAAAAAATTATAGGAGTGAAGAAAAAGCATTGAACTGGAAGTCAAAGACTTCACTGGAGATATGGTGACCAGATGACTTTAAAGTTCTCAATTAGTCTTTTGACTCCTTTGACTGTAAAATTAGGAGATGAGGTCAGCTGATCATCAAGGTACCTTTTAACACAAACATTCCATCCTAGGTATGTGGAAGGAGGAATGAATACCATTTGCTAACCTTTGGAGCACAGGTCTGATCCTCAAACAGAATCTGTATATATTAATCTATGGATTAAAAAACAGCTTTTCTATTGATATTGCTAGTAAGTCTTTCATTTTTAAGTCCTAAAGCTGTATTTCCGTCTGCTAGAAGCAGAGCTCTGATCTCCATATTATTCATCAAGAATGACTTCCCTAAATGGTATAAACGTTTACACTTTCAAATCACTTTCATTATCCAATTGGCACATCCCATCTAAAACTTTATTGATTTCAGAGTCTCTGAGTTGCAATTGTATTAAAATCCAGAAATGGTAAATGTACCAATGATTGCATGGAAATAGCTATAATAAAATATATGATTCTGTAGAAAGCTACTGGCAAAACACTAGCTGATGGTAATGACAGTGTAGGCAATCATAAAATACCTCTTCTGTAGACAACGTGACATTTAGAGTTCCAGCAGGCTACCTTTTCCCATTGCTGTGAATGACCATGCTGACCATGCTGTGAATACATGGCATTTATAAAGCAAATATTATTTTCAGGATGTCAAGCCATAAATTTCTTACCACATTTCTGTGGGTGAAACAACACTGTAATCATTCCACTGGCATTAAAAGTGAGGCCAGCAGGATAGCAAAAACAATATGAGTAATTCACTCAAGTGAGTTAAAACAATAATTTTAAAGCAAAGGTTTGTTATAATACAAGTATAGTTAAATTTCCTCTCTCCTCCACCAAAACACTGAAATGAACAATGTTTAAGTAAGTAAGGTGGTTCTCATTGTCCGTATAAGGAAGAAGGTATGATTAAAGGGTAGACACTGTTCCTTCTCTTCTTAACTTCTGCTCTTTTCTCTCTCCCTTGTAAAATAATTTAGTAAGAACAGTCACAGTTCTACAATAACCACTTCGATGTGTGGATCATGTAGGAAAGTAAACTCAAGAGTTTCAGGACTCCCCCGAAAAGTTTACCAGCACGATAAGCACAGCAGAACTGAAGAAATAACTTCTATGTTAAATCTGTCCCACCTTTTCATATTTGAAATAACTGTAAGAAATAATACAAAGTATACAACACTGCCTTATATTTTAAGAATACCTTTGTAATCTACTAGAAGGCTCAACAAATACACATGAAAAAAAATAGAGAACAATTAGGTATCTAATCCGCATGGGTGGGGATAATATTTACAAAGTATTGCTATGGGACTAAAATGGCTTATGTATGTCAATATCAAGCATTGTATACAGCATATAATAGACATACTAGTAATAATAGTAATTATAATTAATAATAAAGGTATAAGCGGTATTAGTATATCCACTAGTAGTATATAGTCTCTTGGAGCTAGAATAGCTCTAAAATGTCATTTTGCCCAAAACACACATCAATAAATTCCTTCCACAAGATTTTAAGCAGGAATCATCTAGCAATATAAATGGTTACTACCTGAATCCTGCCAGTGATGGGATAGGTCACCACTTAATGCTAAAATGTTTTCCTCATAACAAGTTGAAATCTGTCTCCCTGTAATATCTACCAACCAAATCCACACAATAAAATCAATACTCCTGCACTGACTTATTTTATTAGCGTTATTTTATTGAAATGAAGGAGGGGATGGGGAAGAGCAATTTCCATTTGTCTCAAACATAAGACCAAGAAAAGTAACCCATTCAGACAGAATTGTGACATAAAGGGAATTTATGAAGGTAGTACAAAGGGCATCCAGTTTAAAAGTTAAGAATGTACCCATTAGAACCTAAATATTCATGTATGAGTTAAATTGATGAACTAGCTAACTCCTTCTGATGTCTATATTAGTTTTAATCCTGCACCATCTCTTAAGTATGATTTGGCCTTCTGAAAAGTAACACTGCTGAAACTCTACAATATGTTCTAATTCAATTTGGTAACAACCAGATTCATATTACTTGAGAGCACAGCTGTGCTCCTAATAAAATATTACTACAATTTCCGTGGTTTTGTCTCGGCTAAGGTACTATGAATTCTGCACTGCAGTGCCAAAGTATTGGAAGAAAATGTCAGTCTGTGAATTCCAGTTGTGACTTTGTGATAAGTGTCTCATTTAGGTGGAAAAAGAAGTCATTCTCTCAAACAATATAATCACTTAGGGTTGCCAGAACTGTTTTTTTAACCTTAAAACAAATTTAAGCCCCAAGACCTTGCAAGTTGTAGTATAAATTGTTACCAACATAGTAAATGAAGAGACCACAGAGAAAGCTTCAAAGTCCTCTATACCCTCTACACAACTTCACCAACTAGTATATAGCATTACTAAAAATTTGTTTAGGTAGCAGACAAAACTTACCTTCATAAAATCCTCTCACTCTCTCTCTCTCTCCGCCTCAGTGTTTTTCCTTCTTTTGATCACACCTTTAATCACATACCAGCAAACATAATCTCCAGCAACTACATGTTCACAAAATCCCTATTTCTATAGTCACAGAAGGAGAAAATCCCAGTATTAATATCAGTCCTTGCAAAAGCCAGATCCCTTTGTATCTCTTGTCCACTACTGGGCCCACCAGTATGGCTCAGAGGATAGTAAAGTCTTTTGGGCCAGACTTATCGCATGGCATTACATGCCCACTTCTGTAATGATGGAGGTAGGGCATGTGATTAGCTGCCACACTAAGTGGAAGTCAGATAATTCCTCAAAGGTCAACTGGTGTATGTAAAGAACAGAAGAAGGGATGCTGGGCAAGTAAGAACAACAGATGTCCACTACAGGAAATGTGGGGGAAAAAAAAAAACTTACACCAGATTCTTGTCCTGAAATCTTCTGCCAGATTTTGGTTGAAGGTCCCACATGTATGGGAAGGAAAGCAAGTATTACTGAAAGTGTAAAAGAGCAAAAGAACCAGTGCTCAAAATTTACTTTGCAATTTTTCCATGCATGAGTCACTCAGTAATCTCATACAATGTAAATGGGGAAAAAGCATTTCTGATTTTCACTAAGTGAAAGATGCAGGAATATTTTTATTTTAGCAGAAGACAAGAAGTTCCCTTAGAAAAAGATAGTGGGGGGCAACTGATATAACAATAAGAGTTTATAGGAAATGAAAACTAGTTTGAGAGAAAGGAAAGGAGTGATAATATATTAGGAAAGATTCAGAACTTTAAAACTCTAATTTAAGCAACCATTGCTATTCACCAGATGCTAAGGAATTTCTCTGCATTTTTCTTAAGGCTGTTGTCCCTTGGGTTGAGTAATACCTATTTGGTCTAGCAATTGCCCTGTTACCTGCTTATTTTGGAGTAAATCAACTTTAAGGAGCACAAAGAAGATGAAGGAATGAATTATCTTTCTCCCTACCTCTTAGTTTTTTTCCCACATCATAACATTTAAGAAAGTGAGTCCTCCTTGGACCATCTAGTGATATTTCTTATCCCAGATAAACCAACAGAAAGCATTACTCACCAGCTGGAACCCCACCTACTATTTGCAACACTGGTTATTTCCGCACCTCATCATCCATATGATAACCTCATGTGAGGTCTGCCCAAACCTATCAGCCTCTTCTAGTTGGACAACCATCACATTTCAACCTTTTTACTTGCTGCATTAAAATTCTAACAGTTTCCACCAGGCAGCTGCAAACCCTGACACTTAGCTCCTTCTCATGGTGAGCAAATAAAATAGGATCTCCCTGTGCCTTCTGGAGCATGACAGAAGTATCATTTCAGAACAATTGACAGTGTCTGTCTCTAACCAAAAGCATTCAGCTGCTGTAGCTAACATCTAGCAATACTGAGAAGAAAACAGGGAGTTCAGACTGGTGACTGATGTAAAATAGGTCCCTTCCTTTCCAACAGTTGTGACAGATGCAGAATGTGGTGCCAATTCTACATTTAGGTCCATCTCCAGAAAGTCATAATTAGCTGTGAAGTCTCAGCATTCCTAGAAAAAGTGAATGCTCTAAATACAGCTCAGGTATATGCCAACAGAAATTCCAGGAGCCAGATCTAGGCTGGCCAGTCGGGAC